TTTTTAATTTGAGTGGCATCCCACACAGTAAGGACTAAGGCCACTTCATTATGTGAGACAGAGACGAAGGAAAAGAGAGAGGCAGAAGGCACCTGACTGATAAGAGATAAAGGAGATGGGAGAAGAGGGAGCTCATGGCCAAGGGCCCAATCTTTTCTGTAAAATATGAGGCAAGGTTCAAAGCTAAGAGAGTGGGGGCAGGAGGAACCATGGAGGTTTGACAAGGGATGAAAGAGTAACTGTGGAGAGTGAGATAGTGAGTTGTTAAGGAAGGTAAAGTAAGAGTGCCTAGCAGCAGTGAGGACTCAGTGAAGGCTGTGTAACATAAATCTGTAGTGGACCCAATCAGAACTATTCTATGATTTTTCTCCACCTTTATTCAGCAGCATGTATGTAGGAAAGAAGACAGTGAACAGTGGCAGTGATCCAAAGCTGAGGTTTGGCTGGGTGTGACTAGCGAAATGAGATTGAAGAGGACAGCATAGAGTTGAAGTGGTTCACGAATGGGTCAAGATGGGGAAAAGAAGAGAGAGTAGGTAGGGCAGGGGAGGCAGCCTGGGAGAGAATTAAAGGGTCAAAGGATTTGAGGTCACAGTAGAGTTAAAGAGTAGGGTTTTTTAAGGGAAGGCAGAAGGAAAGGTGAAAAGTCAATAGATTATGGCCCAAATTTACTCTCTCTTCACTTCAATGATTTAGAATCATTAGCTTCCTTTAAGGCTTAACTCGAAAGCAATATCTTCCATGAAATCTTCCCTAATCACCTAAGTTACATGCTTTCTCACTGTTCAAAGTGTCTTGTATTCAATTGTCACATTCCCCCCAGTATGGTCCCTGTTCTTAAGGAGCTCACATTCTAATGGGGGAGATCCCACATAAACAACCAAGTACATACAAAATATCTACAATGTAAATGGGAGATACCTTAGAGGGAAGGCAATAGCAGTGGTGGGCACAAGAGAATGACTCTTTGAGAAGGTGAGATTTGAGCTTAGTCTTGAAGGAAGCAAGGAAACAGAGGCAAAGAAGAAAAACACTCCAGGCATGGGGGGGGAGCCAATGAAAAGACATGGAGTAAGGAGATAAAGTGTCACATGGGACCAACAGCAAGAAAGCCAGAGTTGTTGGATTATAGAGTCAGTTGAAGGTAGTAAAGTGTAAGAATACTGGAAGGATAAGAAGAGGCCAGGTTATAAAGCCAAATGGAAGATTTTATATTTAATCTGGAGGAATAAGAGAGCTACTGGATTTTATTGAATAGAGACTTGTGATTTAGGAGTTAACTTTGGCAGCTTAGTGGAGGATGGACTGAAGTGGGGAGAAACTTGAGGCAGGAAGACCAACCAGCAGGCTATTATAACAGTCCAACTGAGGCTATGAGGACCTGCATCAGGGTTGTGCCTGTGTGAATGAAAAAAGGGGACATATAGGACAGGTATTTCAAAAGACTAGACAACTTGGATACTGTTGGGGCGTGGGGATGGGTGGGGGAGATGAGACTGAGAAGTAAAAAATGATCCTTAAGTTTGGAGCCTGCGTGATTGGGAAGATGGTAATACCCATAACAGTAATAGAGAACTCTGGAAGGGGAAACTGTTTTTGGGAAAAATAATGAATTCAGTCTTGGCTATGTTGAGTTTAAGATATCTATGTGCTATCTAGTTTGAGACATCCAATAAGCAGTTAGTGATGTAAGCCTGGAGGTCAAGAGGTTAGAGATGGATAAATAGATAAGAACCATCTGCATAAAGATAACTGAATCCCTGAGAGCTGATAAGATCAACAAGTGAGATACTACAGAGGGAAAAGAGTAGAGATTTCCAGGACACAGCTTTGGGGGACATCCACGGGTGGTGGGTGTGACTTGAATAGAGATCCAGCAAATGAGATTGAGAAAGAAAGGTCAAACAAGTAGAAGAACTAGGAGAGAAAAGTGTCATGGAAACCTAGAAAGACTGAAAACTAAGAAAATGTCATCACATCTGGAAATTTGGAATGAGGTGTTTGGAACTTTGGAAAGATTTTGAGCTGAAATTTTTAAGTTGGAAACCAGATTGTAGAAGGTGTAGAAAATGAGAAGAGGGAAAATGGAGGCATGAGAGTATACATAATCTTTTCAAGGAATTTAACCCATAAAGGAAAGAGAGATACTACCCAATTGGTAGCAAGGATGGTCAGCTCAAGACAGGGTTTTTGAAAGGATGGGAGAGACATAAGCATTCTCATAGGAAGTATGGAAGCAGACAATAAACAGGGGAAGATTGAAGATACTGAGAAAGTGGGAATGATGGAAGGGGCAATTTGCTGGAGAAGATGGGATTGAATGGGATCAAGGGTACACATAAGAGAGTTTGTTTTGGAAGAAAAGGGCTACCTCCTCAAGTGGGCAGGTGGCTCAGAGGATAGAATGCTGGCCCTGGAGTCAGAGTGAATGGAGTTCAAATCCAGCTTCGGACACTAGCTGTGTGGCCTTGGGCAAGCCACTTACCCCTGTTTGCCTCAGTTTCCTCATCTGTAAAATGAGCTGGAGAAGGAAATGGCAAACCACTCAAGTATCTTTGCCAAGGAAATCCTAAATGGGGTTACAGAGAGTAGGACACAACTGATTAAAAACAACCTCCTCAAGTGAAACAAGGCCACCTCTTCAGGTGAGACCAGGATGAAGGACATAGTGGGTGAAGACATCTGAATGTTGTAAAATTAAGAAGAAGAGAGAGAGGGATCTCTCCTTGAATATATTCAAGTTCCCCAGCTGGTGGTTCAAGGAAAAAGTGCCATGGGTGGTTTGAGTAGGGATGAAAAGGTTTGGAATAGGCACTATGGTGCATGTGATAATGAATTGATTAGAGAGATGTAAAGCAACTACCTTGCTGCAGTGAGAGACCATTTGAAATTATGTAAAACAAATCTGCAGTAGACCCAGTTAGCATAGTTGTGATTTTCTCCAGCTTTGTTTGCCAACACTTGAATAAGAGCAGAAGTAGCAGACAACAGGATTGGTCACAAGTTGGGTTTTGGTCAGGTATGAACAGTGATAAGATAAAGGGGTAAAGGAGTTGAGCAAAGATGGTTTAGATCAGGGGTGGCGAAACTTCAGCCTTGAGGCCACGTGGCCCTCTAGGTCCTCAAGTGGGCCCTTTGACTGAATCCAAACTTCACAGACCAAATCCCCTTAATAAAAGGATTTGTTCTGTAAAACTTGGACTCAAGTCAAAAGGCCACACACAGCCTTGAAGCTGCAGGTCCCCCGCCCCTGCAAGGGATTAGAAGTCATAGTGAAGCCAACGCACAGGGTCAGGAAAGGCAGAGAGAAATAAAGAATGATTAAAAAGTCTTTATCAGATAAAAGAATATCAGAATTCATGAACATGAAAGTGGAACACTTGTGGGTGATAGCACCCACAGATCAAGTGTACTCCTTTCTCTGTGTGTAGCTGAGGTAGAATGGAGGAATAGGTCATGGAAAGTGATTAAGATTGAGGAACTGGGAAGCAGTGTTTGAGGGAGCATCTATGGGGACGTTAAAGTCTGACCGTGAGGTAAGCAGTTGGGGTGGAAAGCCGGTCACCCAGATGTTGTATTCCTTAAGGAAGGAAGGGGGGGAGGGTTTGCTGTCAGCCGATAAGTTACCGGAATCCTGATTGGATGGTGAGTTTGGATGTAGTGAACCTGGGAGAGGTTGCTGGGTGGTGAGTTTGGGTGGTTAATTAGTCCAACTCCCCCAACCAGGACTGGGTGGCTAGAGAGGCAAGCACGGTGCCTTACACAGTAGGGACTTAATTAGCTGGTAGAATGTGAACTTTTTGTGGCAGGGACCACCTTTTTTCTCCTTTCTTTTTTCCCAGTGCTCGAACACTGTACCACGTATTCTGCCCATCTCTCAGCACCCTCATTTTATGTACCAACGACTGCCCAGCACTAAGAGTTTTTCAAAACGTGCTCACTTCTACGATCTTCGATTCCTGGGCATAGTCTCCATTTTACTCACTCAAGGGAGGTTAATTCCTTGCCCCCCCCCCCCGAGTCATGCAGCATCCTTCTAGGACGGGGCTTTGGAGCTGGAGGGGGTTCCTCAGAGCCCATCTAGCTCCATCTCCTCTTTTTACAGAAGAGGAAACTGAAGCCGGGGAGGTTTTTCAAGTAACTTGCGCAAGATCAACCTAGCAGTTAGAGGCACAGGCAGGATCTGAGTCAGGCCTTTCACTCCAAATTCAACATCAGCTCACTCGGCCTCCGCCCTCTCATGCTTAAAATTCTGGCGGCCCCTCTCACTGGAAGACCTGTGGAAGGTGGAGGGAAACGAACAAAAAGAAAAAGGCAAGACCCAGGCCTACGGGAGTCCGGGGCTTGGGGCCAATGATGCCCACGGCGGGGGGGGCAAACAGCCCTTTCTTTCCCCAGTACCGTGGTCTGCCGGGGCACCACTCCTGACTGGGTCAGTGGCACAAACATGGCGCCCCCGTCTTCTCTCTCTCCCTCCACCCCCCCATCCCTATCCCCACCCCCTGCCTCCTTCCCATCAGCCGCGCGCCCTGGCCCGCGCCCAGACGAGGCCGCGCGCGAATCTCGAGTCGCGCGGGAGGCGAGCGTTTCCGAGGATTTCCGAAACGGCAGCTGGAACTGGAGGCGGGCCTCAGGCCGGGAAGAGCGGAAGCCAGAGGGAGAAGTAGAGAGGAGCTGGTCCCGCCCAGATGGGGAGGGCGAAGGGAGCGGCCGCGACGGCGGCCGCGGCGGCGGGCAAGGAGCAGGGGGAGGGGAAGCCGGATGTGAGTGGAGCGGCCATTTCCTGTTTCTCTGCAGTTTTCCTCCAGCTTTGGGTGGTGGCTGCTGCTTGAGATCGGCTTCTAGTCGGCTAAGGGGCGAGGCGGCGTGGACTGCGGTCCCCGTGCCCCCCCTCTATCCACGTACCGCCGTTCCCGGGGCCGTTCCCCGCCTTGTCAGTAGCCCATCCCGCTCGGAGCCCGTCGGTCCTCCCCTTCTGCTCCCGGGCAGCCTCGGCCGCCGCCGCCTCCTCCTCCTCCTCCTCCTCCTCCTCCGCCGCCGCCGTCGCCGCCGCCTCCGCGGCAGCCCCACGAGCCGCCCCGATGCAGGCCATCAAGTGTGTGGTGGTAGGAGACGGGTAAGTCGTTTTACCTCCGGCCCCGGCCTTCCCTTCGTCCTCCCGCGCGCCGGGGGACGCGGGCTCGGCCTCTGCCGGGGGGGGGGGACCCTGGTGGGCGTGCGGGGGCGGGGTCCGGCGGGTCCCTGGGGTGGGGCGAGGCGGAACTGCGGGCCCCCACTCGGGGAGCCCCAGGTTGGGGGTGGCCGGCGGCTCGCGGAGAGCTTGTTGGGGGGTGGGGAGTTCCCCGAGTGGCGGTAGATCGCTTGGGGTGGGGTTGGTGTAGACGGTGCCGGGATCTGACTCCTAGTGGGGCCTGGGCTGTAGCGTTAACTGGCCCTTGGGGTGAGGTGTTGCATTTTCTCAGGGTTGGCCTTAAGAATCCTGTGCTCAAGGGGGGGGGTTGTTCCCTTGTTCCCCTCCTCCTCCCCTCTCCCTCCACCCTGCTACGGACACTGCTGTCCTCACTACGTTCCCAGAGGGGTGGGTGGAAGAGTCTACCAGCCTCTCCCACTTTTTTCCCTGGGATGGTGTTAGTTTGTGCGCTGGGGTTCTGCCCTCTTTTTTTCTTTCTTTCTTTTTTTTTCCTTTCTCTCTCTCTTTTTTTTTTCAAACGAGAGATTGATTTACCCAGCCCAAAGAAAAAAAGTGGGCTCCACCCTTTTGCTCAATTCAAAAACCCAGTTTGGATTTAGGCAGAACTTGGAAGTTAGTGTAATGCACCTCTGAATCAGAATGCTTGTCTTCTGCCCTCTCTCTGTGTTTGCTTGTAGGTTAGGTAGGGGTTTTTAAAAATAAATTTTCTTTTATATTAACTCAACATAATAAATTGGAGTACCTAGGTGAGTGCTTTAATGATATAACTGCCATTAAGGTTGATAATGTTTTATAATCTTAGGTTTAGCAGACTGCAGTGAAAGTGATTTATCGGGACTGGTTATGTGATCTTAAATTTTAACTACAAGATTTATTTAGTCTCCGTTTCTATACTTAAGTGGTTTTTGCTATTCTTTTGGTAAAATCTTAACATTCTTGTGGTAAAGAAGATGAGAATGAATTTCTCTTTAACAGAGTAGTGTGTCCAAAAAAGTGCTTTTTTTGCCCTTATCTGATACATTAGGTATGGGATGCAGTAGAACAGGCTTCCTGAGGAAAAAATTGCTCCCTGTGACTCAAGGCATATAATTTCATTACTGTGTGTTGTCGTGTTGCTGGGCTTATTGGAAAACAAGACTTGCCTTATGCAATTTATTCTCCCCCCCAAGAAACAAGTATTCTAGTGTAATCTGAACAAAATAGTATATCACAGTATTGCTTGTGTAATTTAGAGTTGGCCAGGATGCCTGACAAATTACTATTAGCCTCATGAAATTTTTGCAACAAATGAGTACATTTTCCAGTGTGTTTGAATGTTTTTGTTGCTTAATAATACTCTCCAATAACTAATTACTGCTAGCTTAGTGAGTTTTTTTGAGATCTATATTTGGCTTTTGATTTTGTGCCTCTGAATTGTTAGTGATGTTTTTATAAATACCTAGCTTACTATTTGAAGGAGTTGCTTAAGATTTCTAATTGAAATATAAGAAACAACAGGCTAGCTGATTTTTATGATAATCAAATTTTGACTCAGTATTCTGAAGGATTGAAACATTTTCCTAGTCACATATTAGGAACTTGTATATTGGTAAAATATTTTTATCCTTTTGAAAGAAAACAATTAGTTCTGGAAAACATGTTGAGTAGGTGGGTGTGTATAATAAAATACATTTATCTTAATCATGAAGTTGGGGTCGTCTTGTGATTAACTAGTTAAGAAATTTGCATTAATCTTGCAAAGTTTTGTGTTTTTTTAGCTAATTTGGTTTCATTTTTGTTACTGTTAAGAAAAAAATTTATTGTGACAAATTAATACATGGCATAGTTTTTTTTTTTGAATCAATAGTCCTGGTCAGTTCCACATTTAGTCATAATGAGTAATTTGACTTCAAAAGATTTGTGATTTCAGTGGTGTATGGAAATAGAATGCAATTCTTTAAAAGTCTTCTTAAATTTGTTAAGGCCAAAAAAATCTCCTAATCAACCAACTTTTCTGGTGATGAGTCTTGAGTCTCTATGAAAATAATTAGAAATATTCTTGTACAACTCCCAGTTCCTCGATACGCCTGTTACTTGAAACTTAGCTTGCCAGAGCTTGCTTTCCCTGGCATAGCCCTTGAAAACCCAGCATTACTTCCATGCCAAGATTAGGCATCACAGTAGCACTTTACTAGAGGAAGAAGTAATTTAAGATACTTTGAAAATTAAAGCTAGAGTTTTTAGATCAGTTTGGTTTATTTAAACCCAATAGTCAATGGGCTTTTAATGCTTTTATTGATTTTATTTATGAAATAAAACATAGAATGCCAATTACATGCAATATATTTGCTAGACGTGGGAGATGTAAAGTAAAAGACTGAATTCTGACACTACTGGCCTGGAGAGACTGGAAGATCTAAATTTGCTTCCTATCTTAGACCCAGGCAGATTACTTAGCTTCATTTTATCTGTAAAATGGATAATAATATTACCTACTTCACAATATTGTTGCTAAGGATCAAATTAAGTAACATATATAAAGCACTATATAGATGTTAGGAATTTGTATTCCCCTCAAAGAACTTAAACTCTAGATTATTATTTTTTGTAATCCTGATTTGATTAGGGCTAGGTGGCATAGAAATAGAAATAGGAATGTTTTTTAGAAATGTCATCTTGATAATGTCACCATTCAAATAACTTTTATTACTTTTAAGAACAAGTAATGTAACAAATATTACTTTGAAAAAGAGGTCCCTTGTTCAGCTGAAAAACTATCTTCAATTTAGCAAATATTTATGGAATACTACATGTGCTGGAGGCTGTTGTTAGAATATTTTAATTGTTGACACTTTTCACAAAATTTTCTGTTTCTTGTCAATATACATAATTTAGTATTATGGAATCTTTAAGCTTTAAAAAAAATTTAATGGCTAATTCAGCACTAAAAAAAAAAAACCACCTTGGCTTCACAAACTGCTGGCTTTTCTATTTTGTTGAAAGGATATTTGTGCCCTGAAATATGTCAGCAGTTGGAGTAGTGAAGCAAAAGCCTTCTGTTGCACATGATATTGTATGCTTTGTAATAAGCAATATCCCTTAGTTTTTAAAAACAACTACATTAATTTTCCAGAATATTTAAAAGCTATGCTATTTTATCCCCTGTATACTAGTATCAGTCAAGTTTAATCTGATTTGATATAATAAAATTAGGTTTTTTAATCTTTTGCCCTTTGGTAATCCTGCCCATCACCTTGATTTGGTGAACCCCAATAACATTATACAGTTTTGTTTAGCCATATAACACATCCAAGAAGGGCTGAGGTCCCAATTAAAAGTCAGATTAATAATCATTAGTTTGAATAATGTACCAATATCTCACCAAGCTGATTGTCATTGTTTTTTATTTGAGTTAACTGGAAGACTCAAATGTATAAATTGGAACATTTTGATAACATTAAAAAAAAATACCTTATCTGGCCAGGCCAGTGGTTCATGTTGGAAGTGTTTATTTTTGATATGCACATCAAGTGACTGAAAGGGCTTTGCCTTTCATGAAGCCATCCTCAAAAGGATTGCCCTAGATGTCCCTAGCTTCCTTTTAATTTTTTATGACGCACTCCTTACATTTACCTATGTATATATAATTTGGACTTGGACTCTTGGTTTTGGAGTCAAAAGACCTGAATTCAAATGCTGGCTCTACCAGTGGTTACACTCAACCTCTCTGGTGTGTTCAGTTTGTTTATCAGTTAAAATTGATTTGGACTAGATGATCTCTAAGGTCTCTGAGCTCTAAATCAAACTAAAATTTTGTACAAGTGAGTAAACACTTGTTTTCTCTTAAAAAGAAGGATGTTGGGGATTGGGTTGAAAAGTCAAGGGGTATATTTGCTTCATTCTTAGAATGGTAATGTGCTATACTTTTTGTGAGATCATACCTTTAAAATTTGCTATTTACTTTCTGTTAGTAATTTTTAGTTTTCTGCCTCTTCATCAGCAAATGCTATCCACCATGTAATTTTTCCTGAAAGGGAGATGTCTTAATGTAATAGTTCCACTTTTAGAATATTTTCCAAGTGAAATGTCAGAAGGGAATATTTAAGGAGGAAATCTTGAAGTTGAAAATGAAGTAGAATGATTGTTGGGCAGTTAAGATATAAATACTTGATTTGTGGACCTGCCATCAGGTATTGAGAGGAATTGTAGTATAACAATGAAAGGGCTAGTGAGTTGGGAAGACCTGGAATCAAGTCCTGGTCTCTAGCTGTGGGAACAAAAAGTTACTTTGTCTCTCAGTGCCTCTATGCCACTAGGCAACTCCAAGACTATAAATGACTGAAGACTTCCTGAGAGTTCCCTACAATGAAATCATAGCTTCTCTTCACACCTTTCCCCTCTCCCCCAACAAAAAAAAAAACAGACATTGAAACTTAGGTACTTTCTTTAGCACCTGGCAGTTACTCAGTAAATATTGTTAATTTCATTTGAACAAGCCAAAGAACAACTCCACCAAATATCAGTGGTTAATAGTGACATTTTTATTATATGTGACATTTACCTCTTCTAAATTATTTCATGCAAAAAATGTTTTGATGCTCTTGCCCATGAGTATGAATTGAATTCAAAGTTTGAACTATGGAGAACCATGGGAAATTCTAGATTTTGTGGTGAATTACATAGTGTTACTTGGGATTTGGTTTCAAGCTCGTTGTTCTTCAGGTGTGTCCAGTTCTGTGTGACCTTGTGAATGAATCATAGCATGACAATATGGTCCATGGAGTTTTCTTAGCAAAGATACTGAAGTGCTTTGTCGTTTCCTTCTCCAGTGTGTCCCCATTTTACAGATGAGGAACTGAGGCGAGTAGGGTCACACAGCTTATAGTATCAGAGGCCAGATTTGAACTCAGATTTTCCTGACTCCAGGCCTAGTGCTTTATCTATTA